TCGGGCCCTGGGGCCTTATTCTTGCCAAGGCCTTTTAAAGCATCCCAAATTTCTCCTTCCTCGAAGTGTCTTTCTAACCAGACACTATTCTGAGCGGAAATAGGTCTCCAATTGAAACCAATTGGTAAAAATCGCTGCTGTCCGTCCTCTCTGCAAAGTACTGCACAATTTCCATCTCAATATCCCTCAAATTCACAAGAGAATTCCCTGCAGAATCTTGCATCTTAGAAATTAGAGCTTTTCTCCTTTTTGCTGCCAAGAATCTATGAAAGAATTTGCTATTTTCATCTCCTTCAGCCAACCACCTGATTTTACTTTTTTGCAAAAGATATTGTTCCTCTCGAATATAAAGATCAAGCAGATTCTGTTTTAAGGAACATCTCTTCCCCACTTCCTCAATTTCTAATCCCGACTCCTCTTTCTCATCAAGCAAAGAAATTTCTTCAATAATTTTTGCTTCTGCAACCTTATCCTTCCTTTATTTCTGTTTGTGCCATTGCTTCAGAGCGATCTTCAGATTTCTAAGCTTAGCAGAAATAAGATAACCTGCCCACCCATAGGATCTATCCTCCGAAAGCTTGGATTCAATTAAATTGATACAGTCCTTATCTTTCAACCAGGAGTTAAAAATCTGAAAGGGCAAGGCCCCCAAACAAATTCTCCTGAATCTAGAAAAATAGGGTAGTGATCCGATGTAATACATTCACCTCTATATACACGAGAGTTATGAAAGAGGGAGTCCCAATCTGAAGAAACAAAAAATCTGTCCAGCAATGAATGCGTATTGTTATTTCCCATCTTTGACCATGTATACCGGCCATTGGATAAGGGAATTTCCTGGATTTCAAGCTCTTCAATGATTTTATTAAAATTCCTCATTGCCTTAGACTGCCTTCCTCCCGAAGACCGATCAGAAGCCCATCTCGTGACATTAAAATCCCCTCCCATACACCAAAGTTTGATAGAGAATCCAGCAATATTACAAATTTCAGACCACAAATTCTTCCTTTCTTTGTAATTCGTTGGGCCATAAATGTTGGTGATACATATATTCTGTAGATTAGAAAAAGAGCACATTATGGTTAATGAAAAAACTCCTTCAAGGACTTCCTGAACAACTACTTTGCTTTCGTCCCATAATGTAATGAGGCCTCCTGATTTTCCCGCCGATACATCTGAGCCCAGCCAATATCTTGAGAACTCCACAGTGACTTGATCACCATGATATCAATCTGTTGTAGCTTGGATTCTTGAATGAGTACTATGTCCGAACAATGCTTCAAGATAAGTTTCTTGATTTTTAGCCGTTTCTTATAACAACATAGGCCACGGACATTCCATGACATAATCTTCATTGAGAATTCTGAATTGGGACCACCTCTATCCCCACGGATTCAAAGAATGGAGGAATAGCAGTCTTGGTAACAAACTTTTCTTCCACTCTTTGGGCTGACTGTGCAAGGTTGGAGTTAGAGAGATCCTTGTCTAAATCAAAGAGATTAGGAAGGACTTCATCAGAAAGAAATTCGGATGAATTATCAAAGTCGGAAATAAAATTCATTCGATCAGGGGAAGGATCAGGGCTACTAAGACTCACATTAAGATCTTCTTCATCTTCATCTTCGGAAAGTGCAAAAACACTTGGACTTTTGTTGAAAGTGTCTTTGGTGGAAAACACAAGACCAGGGAACAAAGTTTGCTGAAGGGCAACCGGTAATTCTCTTTGCCCAAGGACTTTTCGATCTTCTCCCTCCTCCATTAATGTTTCCTTAATAATTGGGATTTCTAATTGCTGCAAATTAGATTCGTCATTTAGCTTTGGTTTGAATTTCTTCCGCGAATACGAGAAAGGTAATGGGGGAATAAACTTTCTTGACTTATTTTTCAATGGCGTAGATTTTGGAGAATCATCTGGAATAGCAACAACCTTTGGGGTTACAGAAATTAGGGTTTCATTTATTACGGAGAACATTCTCTCCTCCCCCAAATCTTTCCCCAGTAAATCTCTTTCCATATTTCCTTTCGAATTTAATTTGTTTGCAAATTCTCTTTCTTCATTAATAGCAATTCTGCCTCTTTCTTCRCAAAGATCCTCTGCCTTTTCTGATTCCATGTGTGAAATCTCTACAGAATTGTTAACTTCCCTCCGATTTCCAAGAGAATTTAAGTTAGCCTCAATCGGAACATCTGACGTCATCTCTCCTTCCTTTAATCTCTCTTCATTATTAATGGTAACCCTAAAAGCCGGAAGAATATCTTCCTCTCCCTCCTTATTTTGAATACCAAACGACATTTGCTTCATAGACTCTTCATTTTCTATAAATGGCGCTGTCATTCCGCCTGCCATATAAGTTGTAGTGATCCTTTTGAAAATGGCAAGTCGCCAAGTAAATGGTATAACACATTTTCATCTCTATTTGTTTTATCAATGCTTCTTGGGCCCTAGCAATCACTTGACACTACGGAGATAACAAACTAGAAATCAATCAATTTTGAGAAGTACAAACATGAAAATCAACCATAGACCATCATCCTACCAGAGAGAGAATCATAGAAACAAATACCAATTAGAAAACATTAGCTTCAAACGTACACAAATATAATATCACCAACACATCATTGGCACAGACCTCATTTTCACCATAGCCAAGGGCTTCCAATTTTGATAATAATTTCTTTGATTTTTCAAACAAACCTCCCCTGACATAAACCTTCAGCAATGTTGTTAAAACCACCTGCAAGTACATACAAAACTTGAATACCAACAAAATATTATTTTTTAGATATAGAATGAATATATATATATACATATTTCTGCAATAGACCAGAGAAATTACATACATTCTAACCACATTTTTCATAACTTTCGTCGCCGTACTTTTCAAGCCTGAACCATCAGAAGTGGAAGTTAATTGGACAACTTATAGAAAACCGTCCTTGGTAAAATGGGTTATTATTAGAGTTAACAACGAACTGTGAGAGTCCTAATAGAGATAGTTTGGAAATAGTATTAGTATTGTATTTGGGGACGTTATGATAATTAGCTAGGGATAAGTTTGTTATAAATAGTATTAGGGAGAGAGGGAAGGCATCTTTGGAGATATTCTCGGTAAAGTAACTAGGCATAGTTCTTTGGGAGAGAGATAGTCCCCTCGAAAGCTCTTGATATTGTAACGTCATTTAATATTGCAATATAGTTATCTTGTTCCATTTAGTGTATTTGAGATCCTAACACGAACCCAAAAGCTTAAACTACTTGGTTACAATAAGTTTAGTATTTTATTCATACTTAAACAATCTCCTCAATTTTCTCAAGATCTCAATGTCCTTTTTCCAGAAGTCAAAGACGTGTTGATTAAGTTGCTAGCGAGCCCGAAGTTAAAGATTTTTAAAGTTCTCTTATTGTGTCCTTGCAACTTGATCAATTGTTTTGCTAATAGTTAGCATGGTCTTTTTGGCTTTTATTGTCTCTTCATTATCTGTATTTCTCCTAGTTGGGCCTCTTTTTATTTTCTCTTTTTCTCTCTCCTTCGGGAGTTTGTATACTTGAACTTTTTCTCCTTTTCATATATCAATGAAAAGTTGTTTATTGTTAGAAAGAAATAATAAATAAAAACAATCTCCTCACTTGTGAGCCTGAAATAAACACAAGGTCCAACAAGAAATTATCAATATTAATTGGTAGGAAATTACATTATAGAAGTTAAAATACAAGACTTCCTACCTTGATACCATGTTAAACAATTACTAAACCAACAAACTGTAAATTTAATCTTTCATTCATACGTTAGGAAGCTAAAAGTACAGATGTTAAAAAAAAATACCTAAAACAAAGCTTGCCAATCCAAAATGACTATCTACTGAAGAAAACTGACAGTTGAGGAAGATACCAAAACAACCCTAAACACAAACTGACCGCCAGAATGAAGAAGAACTAAATCTGAAACCTCCCTTCACCAAGAAAAGACAAGAAAACTAAAAGATCTCAACCTTCAAAACTACCGCAATGCAAAACCAACCAAAAATTGTTGTACTTAATTAAAGTCTACCTATTCAGTGGTTGGAACTAGGGTAATGCCAACATCTTCAAAATTTTTTAAAAAATCTTTGATATCAGCGCAAGAAGCTGAGTCCTCATTTGCACATTAGAAAGGAGTTCATTCAAGGATATAGAGGCTGGTTAACCATTCAAGACTTACCACTGTACTATTGGACTCGTTCGACATTCGAAGCCATTGGAAGACAATGTGGTGGATTATTGGAAGTTTCTACCAGGACTCTTAATTTATTAGATGCCTCTGAAGCCTTCATTAAAGTTAAACGTAAATCTTGCGGCTTACTTCCGGCTTCCATGATTATCAAAGATGAGAAATATATGGATCATTCAAAATCAGGGTTGTCGCTTGTCGTCCTCTAACTCCAGCTGGTTTAGTTGGTTTAAGCATTGATGCCAAAACAAATGTCAAATCCCTTAGACATTGAACGTTTGAGAATGATTTTGGTTGACGAACAGTCAGATTCATTTGAGATAGGCAAGGAAGTTAATGGGCCGCAGGAGGATGAAGTAAATTCAAAAAAGGAATCTAAAGCGGAATTCGAGGAGCCTGATCATACGCTTGAATAGTTAGCTGGTGTTTCACTCAGTGAAGGTGAAAAGACGGCGGAAATTAAGGAAGATGATGAATATATCAAGGAGACGCCGATTGGTGATTGATTTTCTAAATAAGGAGAGAGAGAATTCCTTATCTCACGCAGAAAATCGCTTCAATTTCTCTAAGGAGGGCGATATCTGTGGAGAGAGAACAGAGCACGATGAGGTGGCAAATGAAGCTTCGATTGAGGCAACTTTAAATTCTCTCGGGTCCCCAAATCACAATGAAACGCCTGCTGGGTCCCCAAATCATTTGGAAAGCTTTTCATCTCTACTCTTAACTCTTAAGAAGTTATTCCAATGGACGAGCGGTCCCACTCCCCTTTTATTATTTCAGGAATAAGGCAAAGCATTCAGCAATTAATGAAATGGAAAAGATGGATGTCGTTAATAATGTTTCGACAAACCTGTTGGAAGAATTTAATGAGAAAGAGAAATTCCCTCCCAAAGCAACATTCCAGCTACTCCTCTGTTTTCGAAAAATTGCTTTCCGCCCTCTCTTTCTCATGGGATTGTCAACTCCACCAAGATTCCAGTCCTATGGCCCCCTCTCCTCGAGATCCATTGGCCGAGGATATCGAATCAGAGATAAACGTTAGTAGTCCTGATTCTTCTCCGATTCCTAATTCCATTGAACTGTCGGATGAAGTGACATGTGAGCATTCTTTTGAGGAAGCTATTTAGAAACTATTTGGTGAAGCAAAAGAACAAGTCCAGTCAAAGGTTGTTCCACATTTTTTCAAAAAGGTGGGCATTAATCTAGTTCAAATCTCAGGATCGCAATGAAAGTAACTTCGTGGAACGTCAGAGGATTGTGCAACGATGAGTCAAGACTGAAGATCAAGAAGTTTATTCAGAATCATAATCATCATGTAGTGTCTTCAAGAAACAAAGGTTTAGCATTTTGAGCAGCACCTGATTAAATCCCTTTGGAGAGCTAAAGACATCGGATGGACAACAATTGACTCTTATGGGAAATCTGAAGGCATCCTAATTATGTGGGATGAAGGCCGAATAAGTGTCAAGGACGTCATTAGAGGGGGGTATTCCTTATCAATTCTTATTTCCTTTGCAGGTATTGATAACATATGGCTAACCGCTACTATGGTCCAACAGACTATAAGGAAAGAAGATTTTTCTTCCAAGAACTCAGGGACTTCTCATTGGGTGAAAAATGTTGGTGCATTGGCAGTGACTTCAACGTAATCATATGGCCATTGGAAAGATCATCGTGTGTTCGATCATCAAAAGCCATGAAGAAGTTTAATGATCTAATTAGCGAAATGGACATGGTATAAATTCCATTATCCAATGGCAAATTTACTTGGTCTAAGCTAGTTCTCGAGAATCTACTCACTCCTTGCTCGACAGATTCCTAGTATCAAGCGGTTGGGAGGATGTATTCTCAGACTCCAAGGTATCGCAGGGTGAAAGGACTACTTCAGATCACTTCCCGATCATTTTGGAGGCTAGGGACTTTCAGTGGGGTCCAAGTCTGTTCAGATTCTTCAATTCATGGCTCAAAAATAAGGATTGCATTAGTTTAATTGAATCCAAGCTTGCCAATGACCAATCCTACGAATGGCCTGGCTATTCCTTTAATTCAAAGCTTTGAAATCTTAAATCCCCCCTAAGAGCTTGGCACATTCAGAATGAGAAGCGCAAGAAAGAGGCTGAAGTTCAGCTACTTCAACTATCTTCTATTGATGCAAAGGAAGAAGACAGTGGGCTATTTGCGGAGGAAATCGAAACTAGATGCAATTGCCAGAAGAAGTTACTCGGTTTATATGTAGAGAATGAAAGAAACATGTTCCAAAAAAGTATGATTCATTGGCTTGAGGAAGGGGATGAAAATTCCAGCTTCTTTCACAAGTACCTAGCGGCCCGCAGAAGGAAGGCCGTGATCTTAGAATTAATCAATGAGCATGGCACTGCACTTATCAATCATAAGGACATTGAAGGAGAGATTTTAAGCTTTTTCGAAAAGCTCTACCCTGAAACTCTGGCCCTCGGTCCTCTCCAGGAGGAATTAATTGGCGCCCGATTCCTTTATCAGAAAGACAGTGGCAGGAAAGAGATTTTGAGGAAGCAGAAATTTGGACAGCATTGAATGATCTTGGTAAAAATAAGGCACAGGGCCATGATGGTTTTACCACAGAATTTATTATCCGATTTTGGCAATCTTTGAAATCTGACTTTGTTCGTTGGTTTAAGGAATTCTACAGGAACAGCCATATCAATGCATGTCTAAAGGAGAGCTTTATATGTCTTTTGCCCAAAAAGGCTGCAGCATCAAGAATACATGATTTTAGACCTATAAGCCTTTCTTCTTCAATTTACAAGGTGCTGGCCAAAGTCCTTGCAGAACGCCTCCAAAAAGTATTGCCCCTAACTATTTCAATTACTCAAAGCACCTGTATTGAAGGTAGAAACATTATGGACCCAATCTTGATTGCCAATGAAGCATTAGAAGACTACAAAGCCGGAAGGAAAAGAGGGTGGTTGCTAAAATTAGACTTCGAAAAAGCCTTCGGCAAGGTAGATTGGACTTTCCTTGAGAATGTCCTCCTTCAAAAACAATTTGGTGAAAAATGGCGTAAGTGGATTAACGATTATGTAAGAGGAACCAAGTATTCTATTTTTATAAATGGGAGGCCTAAAGGTCGAATTGTGGCTTCTATGGGATTCCACTGTCACCGTTTCTTTTCTTTCTAGTTGCGGATGTATTTAGTAGCATGTTGGAGAGCATCCATGTGGGAGGATCTTTTGACGGGTTCCTAATTGAGAGGAAGAATGTCCACGTTTCCCATCTTCAATTTGCAGACGACATTCTTATTTTCTGTAAGGATGATGCTGGTATGTTGAGAAACCTGATTGAGGCTATTAAGGCCTATGAATGGCTATCTGGATTTTCCATTAATTGGGAGAAGTTAGCAATCAATGGAGTTAACATTCTACCCTCGAAAATTCAGCAAGTCGCATCCACCATAAATTGTCAGGTAGCTTCCTTCCCAACAATGTATCTTGGTCTACCTTTGGGGGAAATCCGAGATCTTCTACTTTTTGGAGTCCAATTTTAGAGAACAATGAGAAAAAGCTAGATCGTTGGAGGCATTATAATCTCTCCAGTGGTGGTCGGTTGACTCCATGCAAATCCATTTTAACAAGTATTCCCCTCCGCTATCTTTCTTTGTTTCAAATGCCTTCAGAGGTTTGTAAACAAATTGAGAGAAAAATGAGAGCCTTTCTATGGAACGGTGGTCCTATGGGCCTCTAAATCACCTGGTACACTGGAATATATCATCTAAGATTATGGAAGATGGTGGATGGGGGTAGGTGGCCTCTCAAAGATGAACAACGCCCTATTAGCCAAGTGGGGTTGGCGTTTTGGCTGCGAGATCAATGTTCTTTGGCGTCAGATTGTGACAAGTTTGTATGGGGAAACTGAACTTGGGTGGTCCTGAGGAGAAAGGACTAACGGCTGTCTTAGGAGCCCATGGATCAATATTTCTCGACATTGGAAACAATTTTGTCAGTTTGCAATCTTTAAATTGGGCTCAGGATCTTGGATTCTGTTCCGGAATCATATTTGGGTAGAGGACAGGCCTTTCATGGTCAAATTTCCGAAAATTTATAGCTTATCTGTGTCCGTTTTAGGTTCAATTGCAAATTATTGGGATGCACAGTCACTATCTTGTTGAATTCTTTCTCATAGGGCCTTGAAAGATGACGAGATTGAGGAATATATTTCACTTCTGTCACTCCTAAATTCTTATACTCCTTTTAATGGACCAGATAGCAAAATTTGGTCTTTGGAGTCTTCAGGCTGTTTCTCTGTGGCCTCTGATCTCTTCGCAAGCCTCTTTCAGACATATCAATGCCACCGGATTTATTAAAAGCCATTTGGAAGACTAAGAGTCCAAAGAAGGTTAGTTTTTTCACTTGGATTCTTCTATATGGAAAGGTACAGCTGACGTTCTTCAAAGGAAGCTGCTCGGATATAATCTTTTGCCTTCTATCTACCCTCTATGTCAATCTAATGGAGAAAGCTTGAATCATATCTTTTTCCCATGTCGCGACAATGTTGGGAATTAACCTTCGAGGAATTTGATTTGTCTTGGGTTTTTAGCAACATAACATCAGACAACGTCCTTCAGCTTCTCCTCAGGCCAACCTTGAATTCTAAAACCAATCTTCTTTGGCTTAATGCTATAAAGGCAGTGCTCTACGAGATTTGGTTTGAAAGAAAAGAGTTTTTTAAGGAAAGAGACAATCTTCGACAGTGTGCTTCAATATAGCTAAGTTCAAGGCTTCTCAATGGTGTTCCTTATCGAAATTATTTAGGAATTACTCCCCCAGCTTGATTTGTTCTAATTGGAGAGTTTTTATTGAACTTTGTTAAGTTTTTGTTTTTTCTTATTCCTCTTCACTCTTTCGAGAGTTTGTATCGTTGGACATTATTGCTCCTTTTCATTATTTCAATGAGAAGTTCGTATCTAGTTCAAAAAAAAATAAAACATTAGCACAAGAAGCTTTTTCCACTACCAAATGTTGTTCGTGAGAAGGAGAAGGAGAAGATCGTAAAGGGACTTGATCTTCTGTAGAAAGTAAATTAAAATCAAAAGGAAAACCTCTAATAAATCTTCATTAAAACTAAGAAGCGCAGACACAGACATGCGACATGGACACGGCGACACGTCAATTTTCAAAAATGTAGGATACGACACGTTGTATATATATATATATATCAACATATTATGAATATTTAATACTTTTAAATAGATTTTTACCTTTAAACATTAACATAAATGCTATGTTAAGAAAAATTAAATACTTAATTTTTAAAACATGAAGAGACTAACAAAATTATTTAATATTTAATACAAAATAAACTTATTAAAATTTTCAATAAAAATTTACTTGAAAAATATTTGATAAAAAAAAGTACAAAGAGAATTTTTGGAAATCTTAACCGTTTGGATTAAAGAACAACTTTAAATACAAAGGGGAATAGTCGTCGGTAAGTCATAGAGAATAGTGCCAGCTTTGTTTATTGGAAGACAAAATTTCCCGTATGTCACTCATGGGAGACATATTCCATGCAGCCATTACTTCTCTTTATCTTTTCCGAGAACTCTTTTTCATCTTCTTCTTACCTACTTCATTACTTCTTTTCTGTCACTTATATTTTTCGAGAAATCATCTTTTTCCATACTTCATTTCTTCCTTTTCTGTCACTTGTTTTCTTTTTTGGAAATCTCATTTTCTGTCACTTCTTCTTCCTCTCCTTCTCATTCTAGTTCATTTTCTTCATCATCTTTCAAACTTAGAAGGCTTAAGGCATCTCTTTTTTATTCGAATTTTCTGGTGTCCATCCGTGTCCGCCCCGTGTCCCCGCCATGTCTAAATAAAAAAATCAAAAAAAAAAAACAGGACACTCTAATTAGCGTGTCTGACACGGACACTTGACCATTTTTCATGTGTCCGTGCTTCCTAGATTAACAACCTCTTGATCTTCCAAAAATCCTACTGAATCCTGACACTAATTCATCCATGCGATGGACAAACAGAGGTAACCAATCGGGACGTTAGGCAACTTAATACGATGCTTAAGGAGCAACAAACCAAAACAGTGGAACCTCACACTTGCCCAGGCTGAATTTACTTACAATCACATAAAGAATAGGTCACGAAGAAGTCACCGTTTGAAATTGTATATACTAAACTCCCTAGCTTAACTGTTGATCTAGCTAACATACCTCATAATGTCGATCTTAGTCAAAAAGTCGAACACATGGCAGAGAGGATTGTGGAGCTACGTAAAGAAGTCACAAACAATCTTATCAAAGCTACCAACTCGTACAAGACACAAGCCGATCAACATAGAAGACTTGAAACTTTCGCTATTGGTGATCTTGTCTAGAGGAGAAAATTCTACTCTTTGCAATTCGATTCTTTCGAACTTCCTTTTTTTTTTGGAACAAAATACGAACTTTTCATTGATGAAATGAAAAGGAACAAAATTGTTCAAGGATACAAACTCTCGAAATAGTGAAAGGAAAGCATAAAAGTTAAAAAGATACAAATACATAATCTAAAAGCCTAAAATAGAGTCCAAATAAGCCAGCTAAGCGGAACAAATAAACCAACTTCCAATTTATTTATGTCAATCTTCTTTGCCATCCAAAGTTTGTATTCAAATGGAAAGAAGTATGAAAAAAAATTTCTAGGAAGGTAGTGAGGATAGTAGGCTTAAGCGTTTAATAAGATGGGATGTATCTTCAAATTCAATAGAAGCTGGTGGTTTGGGCTTTGAAAGTCTAAAGGTGAAAAATCAGGCCTTACTTGCAAAAGGGGGAGGGAGATTCTGTAATGAACAAAGTGATCTTTGGTATCAAGTGATTTCGAGCATATATTGTCTTCAATCTTTCAGTTGGTTCACAACTATCAAGAATAATGTTTGTTTGAGAAGCCCTTGGGCCAATATTTCTAGACATTTTTTTTTTTGAAATCCGTGTGTCCGGGCTAGCTTGCGCGCACCTCGACTAATCACGGGTCAACCGCCTGACCCTACTACATTTGGTTGACAAGGTAACTCGTAGGATATTAAATCCTAGGTAGGTGGCCACCATGGTTTGAACTCATTCCCTCTAAGGCCTTTACTATTTACAAAGGCCCTTATTGACCACTTGAGCCATCCCATGATGGTTCCAATATTTCTCGACATTAGAAACATTAAGCTGATTCCTTTCGGCTTGTTTCCAATTGTACTCGTTTATTTAGATTTGCCTTCTATTCACCTTTTCGACTAAGGAAGAATTATTCTCACTGTTGACAGTTTTCATTTTGTTTCTTCTCATAGCAGTAATTCATATACATGAAACCAAATAATAAAGTTTCTAAAGCACCATAAACAAGAAAACAAACCTTATTTGGTACTAACCCAGTCAATTTCATATCCTGAATCAGCTCATCAGCCTTTTTATAGTCTCCACTCGTTGAATAAGCATTAAGCAGAGAGCCATAATGGAACATATTTGGTGAATGACCTTCGTTTTTCATCTGGATGAAGAAGCTTTCCGCATCTTCCAATCTATTATGTGAAGCACAAACAGCAATGAGTGTCCCATACAGTACGCTATCCATGCAAAGTCCATTGAATTGCAGCTCCTTAAGAAGCTCTAATGCTTTGGCATAACCATGTTTAACCTTGATGCAACCAGTAAGCATCTGAGACAAGTAGACAAGGTGACAATTTTTACTTATCATATTTTTTTTTTTTGAACAAGATACGAACTTTTCATTGATATATGAAAAGGAACAACATTGTTCAAAGATACAAACTTCCGAAGGAGTGATAGAGAAAGCAAGAAATAGAAAATAAAACATAAGACAAGACTACAAAGGAGAAATAAAGGCCTCCCAATTCATACAAATCATATTAGGGGAATACGAAGAGAACAGATCGGAAAGAGCACACCATTGAGAAGCTTTGAATTTGGCAATGTTGAAGCATTCGAATGGCGGGCGACAAGAATCTTCAAAAATCCTTTGATTTCTCTCAAACTGTTGGATTTATCAATATTTGTGTAAATATTAGGTGTGAATATTAGTTGTTAATATTTAGTCTTTATTGTTGATATTCAGTCTTTATGGTATTTATTACTTTCCTTGTTTGTAGTAGGTCATTCTCCGACCTAAGTTACATGTTTGAATATAGTAGTATATTTTTTACTCTCTCAATTTCACATGGTATCAGAGCTTAGGAAGTAAACCCTAACTCTCAAAACCCTAGCCATCATCAAAAATACCAAACCCTAATTTTAAAACCCTAGCCGTCAA